AGGCAGAGCTGGAGGATGTGTTACTTAGGCTCAATTAACAACACTATCTCACATTCCCTCTCATACATCTAAACCAAACACGCCTGTAAGAGTTCTATCATCAATGTGGAAATGTAATTGTGGATATAACAAACCACATAGTGGCACATTCTTCCATGTTTGTTTCAGAATTAGACAAAATTAGGATGACATTTGGAAACAACAAATGAAATTGCAGTTGACTGAAAGCTCAACAACAGTACATGAAATTGTTCACCCTTACCTTAACATATTCGAGGTCTTCCTTCAGCCTAGCAAGTTGCTCAGCAATCTGTGTTTCTTGTACCTGACCAGAACAAGTGCGCTGTTGTTTTTCTAACCTTCTTATTCGCCTTTCAATCTTTCTTCTATCTGACCATAACGAAATGAATCTGACATTAGAACATGTTTAATACTTAGGAGTTAGGCCTCATGATAATCAGTGTAGGCAACACTGCAAGAGAGATGTCCAACTAAAGAAAAATAGCAATGAAGCAAACCATTACCAAAAAACTTGATCTTTTTGTTTCGAATGAATTGTTTCCGTTCAACAGCTAAACGAATGTGAATGTCTTGCTGCTTCTTGAATTCTTCTAACTTTTTTTCCTGCGCTGTTCTGATTTCAGGAGGCAGGTCCTAGGGGGAAAAGGTTATGGTTAAATGCATTACAAGTCAAGTGTACCAACAATAGCTTCAGACTATTATCGAATTATTCTCAAAACCATTGGAGTTTCTAATGAGCATATGGATCGGATTGGCATATTGATGAACCTGTATTATTGAAATCAGTCAACAAGGGATCAGTTCAACAAATTGTCAGCTACCCGAAGAAGCTTATCATTCAAATTCTTCATGAAAAATATTTCCGCATCATGCCAAAAGGAAAGGCAAACTAAAATTCACGTATTCACCTGACATCAGGGTACCCACAGTTGATTACAAAGACAAACTTCCTAACAACCGCTGATACACTTTTAAGCGGTTTAAATATTGAAAGGTTCTGTGGCTTGACAAGGGCAAATTTGGGTTGCGTAGAGAAGAGCGGCAGTAGTTAGCTGCAATTCAGAAAGTATCTTACTCCTAAACCTAAATTCCATATCTAATAAGCTGTCAGTACATGAACTCGTCCAATATGAAGAGCTACCGATATGTATAGGGTCTCAAGCGAGCACGCACCCATAAGATGTTTGTGTGTGCGTGTGTCAGTGTGTGAAAGAGAGAAGATGTACTTTTCGTAGCATGCGCTCGATAGATCGAATTTGATTCTTGAGGGAGATTGCCTTTGACTTGGGCTTGGGCTTCTTCTCCGCACCCAAAGACTTCGGTCGGCGGCTGCTCTTCTCGGAGACCTTCCGCTTACCGTACCCACCTTGCACCATCCTTCTATCCGTGAAATATATATATATATGTATAGATAGTATACGTATATGTAGAGAATGATTGGAAGGAGCAAACGAAATGATGGTGAATATGTAAGAGATTCAACAACTCCGACGTAGAATTGTTCGAGCAACGGTGAGAGGCCGCCGCAGGTTTTCGGCTATCAGCCAGCAGAGGCGCTGCTACGCTGCAGCTTTGCCGTTGAAGGAAAGAAAAAGAGGATAGTCACTGACCCACTGGTCAGGCCCAAAAAAATTGGGTCAGGGGATAATTAAATGGGACCCTATTAAATACTCCCTCCGTCTCGAAAAGATTGACCAAAGTTGACTTTCACGTGAATTAATAAAGTTAAAATTTTGTAGTTGAAATTTTTGCAGAGGAGAGAGAATTAATTTTAACCACATATTTCTTACTTTGAATGAAAATGATAAATCTTTTTGAAACATTCAAAAAAGAAAATTTGACAAACAGACAGAGGAAGTAATATGAAGTAAGATAATTTCGATATATTTTGATAAATACTACGTATTTTAGTGAATATATTTAGTTTTTTCTTAGAATAATGTTAAATTAAAAAATAATTACCAAATTTTTTTTTGGATGAAGGGGGCTTATATTAGAATAAGAGCATTCAGCAAGGATCTAAAATAACAAGAGTACCACCGATAACCATCCGCCTTTGGGCCATACTCTGAGTTAACCACCTTTAAGGAAGCAGTATAACTCGCTGATCCTAAAATGGGCATAATTGAGCCAACAATGGTTACTGCATCACACTCATCACCCGAGCTAATGCAAGAGTCTTACAAAAGTAAGCAAAACAAAAATTAAAATCAACCGTCTGAACATCAAACGAAACAAACCAAGCAATAATAAAATAAGCACCATCGTGGAACTTTTGCACCCGCCACTTCACGAACACATCAGGCGGGCCTAAGAGTTGAGGCCCGCCTCCTCCCCGTTTTTTGTGTTATCCAGTGTCATCTTCTCTCCTGAGTTGTTTTCCTCTACCGGATCCTTCCAGACTATCCTGCGCTTCTGATCCACCGAGACCTCCCCTGCACTGCTTCTATTCTCTTCCTTTGTGCCACTACTGTCTGTCTCAGCTGTACTTCCCTTGCGTCCCTGTCTCATAGTTGCTTCGTCATCTTGCTGAACCCTCCTGTGATGACTCGGACCCCCCAGATTATCCCCCAACCACTTCCCACCCCTTGTGGGGCTAATCTTCCCCCCACCACCTACTCTGATATCAGCACTAAAAATTTTCTCCAACATGAGATCCTCCACATATTTTAATGGACAAAATTTCTCAGAGTGTCCCATAATCCCACAAATGAAACAGAAACTTGGTAACTTTTCATATTTAGGTCATGTTTGGCACACAAAAGCTTCTGCCTTCTAACTTTTCTTTTATTTAAAAAGACCTTAAAAGACTCTAGTTGTATGTTTGGCATGACATTTTTTAAGAGTTTTTCAAAAATCAAAAGATCTTTTTTGAGATGCTACCGGGTGTAGCATCTGAGAAAAGCTCGTGACTTTTAGTATTAATTAGCCCTAACAGCTCGTATACCAAACCGAACTAAATCAAACAGTCAACTTTTTACCAAACAGCTATCACCTTTTCTTTTTAAGATCTTTTTAGTCACTAAAAGCTAACAGTTACTAAAAAGCTCACAAAAGTATCTTTTCAGCTAGTTGTGCCAAACATACTCTTAAAGTCTACCCAATGACCTTCTCCTCCCTTAGTCAAAGTATAACCCTTTTTCAGGGGCCTTCTCACATCCATTTTTTATCTTAACCCTCAAGTAAGAACTCCATTTTTCCTTAAAGTGGCTTTCATCAAAACTAATAAATTCCCCAATATAGTTACCCACCCTCCTAGCAGTATCAATATTCATAAACTTATACGGCACATTATGCACTTACACCCAGAATTCTGCTTCAAACAAGTCCATTTTGTGTGGTATATCATTAGGGCCAACCGCCTATAGCCTCTGTTTTAAAAATCGTTCTAGGCGCCCGACTAGTCCCCGCCTAGGCGCTAGGGAGTGGCCGGGCGCCCCGATTTTCGTCTAGGCGCTCTGACTAATTGATTTGCCGTCTAGGTGAATTAGTTGGCCGCCTATGGCGCCTAGTTGCCCGCCTAGAGCGCCTTATCGGCTGCCTAGGCCGTCTAGATTCGTCGAACATTACTTTACTTTTAAATTTTAATTTTCCAAGCAATATATGTATTACAACTTTAGCCATGAATATAAAGAAATGAAGTTGTAAATTAAGATAAAACTATACATGTTTGTATATATACCTAAATTTTATCATTATTTATATTTATAACATAATGAAGTTAAGTGATTAGTTATCATATACTACATATGATTAAATGTGATAATTCTATATGTATATGTATATATGTATTTTATACACACAAAAACACAATAATACAGTATTTTATAAAATATAGATAAAAATGCAATTTCTAGGTCTCCGATTAGTCCCCGACTAGGCGCCCGCCTAGCCGCCTAGGTGCTAGGCGCTGGGCTGGCGCCCGACTAGCGCCTAACGCCTTTTAGAACATTGCCTTTAGCAATAACAGATTTCGCTCAAACAGCCAAGGATCATCTTCTTTAACACGATTCATATCAATTTTATGATTAAAAGTGAATAGATACCTCTTTTCATCAATTTCTTGGACCGTCATTCCTCTTCCTGGCCTCCAGAGTGATGTAAACAGTTCCTGTACTGCTTGAAATCTGACTTTTCGGTCGGTATTGATAACTCCCACCACCGGAAATTCCGCCGCCTTTGCCTTTGGAATGGTAACTTCTTCTTCCTCATCACCAAAATTCAGCCTACTATTTTCTTTTTCCAAAGCCAATTTTCTATACTGCTCCACCACATCCTCCATCTCAATTACGTGCCAATTAACTCCATGGAAATTGGGAGTTAATCCCACACCGGAAAACTCCCAATTTCTTTTATCCCACACCGGAAAACTCAAGGAATTTTTACCCCCACACCGGCATGGGATTCCATCGGGGCCAAGCTGGTTCAATGTTTTTTTTTTTCGCTTTTCTAATTAACCCTCGACCCCCCCCCCCCCACCAAACAATCAGTCCAACCCGGGGAAAAAAAATTGAAAAAAAACCGCCCGGCCGGTTCCTATTTTCCATGAACTAAGCCCCGCTCTTAGTAACACCCGATTCAGGTCAGCCCGGTTGCCGGACCGGGCCAATTCCAAACAGTGTCGGGCCACAAGCCGATCGGCCCAAAACCGGTCCATCCCTATTTCATACTAACTTGGTTCCATAGTGATTTGCAAATTCAACCTTTTTTTGGTTAAACAATTTCTTTTTATTCACTTAATTAAGATTTCACTTTTTGGCCTTTCACAAAAAGTACTTCTTATATTTTAATTTGGATTTTGTAACTTTGAAGATATTTTTAATGTGATTTCAAAATATATAAATTTTAATTATTAATAATTGTATTAATTATCATTAGGCAAGGGCGTAAGACTTAACATTAACATTGACTTTAAACTTTGTCTTTAAAAATAAATCGTAATAACCAAATCCTTATAAAGACTTTTAAACTTTGTTTTTAAGAATAAATCGTAATAACCTAATCCCAACAACAAGCAACTAAGGTTGTACAAAATATAAACCAATCAAAAACTTTGTCTTTAAAAATAAACCTAAAGACTTTATGAGGCATATACTCATAAAGACTTTAAACTTTGTTTTTAAAAATAAATCGTAATAACAAAATCCTAACAAGCAACTACCGTAAAAAAAACAAGCAACTAAGGTTGTACACTTGTACATAATATAAACCAATCAAACGCGGGGAGGTGGGAGTCAGATCAGATCAGCAACATTCATCGGCATTTCATCAATTTGTGTACTGTAATATTGCTCCATATCTCTTAGAATTTTGATATCATCCGTTTTTACAAAATTTATCGCAACACCCTGCAATGAAATACAGAAAATACGATATCAACAAACGAGATGCAATACATTTCTCTTGCCTAGCCTTAATTTCTCCACGAAACATTAATTCATATCAAGTGTTGCTGTCTACATCATTATTTTATGCCAAGTACGCCATCAACATGAGTTTGAAAGAAAGTAATGCTACAGTGTAAAAAAGTGAGTGAAAAAAGACACCTTGCGACCAAAACGACCAGAACGACCAATGCGGTGGATGTAGAGTTCTCGATTGTTTGGAAGGTCATAGTTAATAACCAAGGAAACCTGAATAAGTCAGGATACACCACGCATTAGAATGATATACAGCTTACATAGATGACAATTTAAATGAGTTTATATAAGAATGCCCAACGTTTTGACTTGCACCATATACGCATAAAGGCCAAATCAAGTTTCGGTCAAGAGATAGTTTAGAACATCGTCTGATGCAGTTGCAACAGTTCAAAAGCAGAAGACTCATCTTATGGATTACTGTCACTGAATATTCTGGAATGTCATGTTATAATTCTAGATAACTTGTTCACATAATTACGCAATTAGATAGTTGGTTTGCAACTAAGAATTCAAGTCAGCCATTCTCTTTCTTGCATCCTATTCCTCACTTAAGCACTAGTTCTATACAACATTCCAAGATAACAAGAATGAACCCTGGCAAGGGGTATAAATAGCCTTCTAAGAGAAATCCTAATTAGGCCCAAATTAATTAAATCCTAATTAAGCCCATACTAACTCCACTAAAATATTCAACTAATAATAGGCCCAAACTTATAAACATAACATAAACTTTATAATATTAAATTAAACTATAACCCTGCTCTTCTTGCTCCCTATCACTTGTTGAATCACATGTGTAGAATTTCAGCTTTTGTAAAAGAAGTGCAACATGGAAAAAATTGTGAAGACATCAATTTTGAATGAAAGCTGAAAAAGAGCATGCCTGTTGAACATCCAGCCCTCTAGCCCAAACGTCGGTTGTAATGAGGACTCGATTTGTGCCTGACCTAAACTCTGCCATTATAGCATCCCGTTCTTTTTGAGGCATATCTCCATGCATAGAAGACACTGTGAAATTATTCTCACACATCTTGCTGGTCAACCAATCCACCTGCCATAATATACTATGATGATAATTTGATTCATGCTCAAAATCTGTAACCTTCATCCCATTAAGCAAGGGGGACATGAGGTTTGAGACAATTTTTAAGGAAAAATAGAGTTGTGTGGTGGGGCACAGATTTTGTAGAAGGATGAAAGTGAGCCACTAATTGTGTAAGTAAATGTGATTGTTCTCATTTGTGTCAAGGCCTGAACTGCTATAATGACCTCCCTGCAGATTTTGGACGTGTTATAGGTTCATAATTACTGCAATGCTCAAAGTCTGTAACACTAATATTCCAAACATTGCGTAAGGGGTTTGAATTGATACTGATTTGAAGCTTCGCAACTAGTTTGACCATTATACTCTTTCAGCATTGTAGCTGGACACCCTCGACATAGTATAAAGTTTTATTTGATCTTTATATGTTCTTTTGTAGATTCTCTGAACACTCATAAAATACATCTTAAAACTGCAAAAGTACTTGAAAACAAAAAAAAAAACAAAAAAAAAGCATGCAGTAGCATTCCCAGACTCAAAGAAAAATGAACTAACATAACTTGGAACTGTATTACCTTCCGTTTTGTGTTGCAAAAAATTACAGCTTGGGTGATGGTCAGTGTATCATAAAGATCACACAATGTATCAAATTTCCACTCTTCTTTCTCAACAGCAACAAAAAACTGTTTGATACCCTGTAATGAAAAGAAAAATGAAGACGCGTTTAGTTCTTTAGGGTAGATATTCAACATCTCTTGAACAAAGTAGCTGTAGATCAAATGGATACATGCCTCTAGTGTCAACTCATCACGTTTTACGAGTATACGAACAGGATCTGTCATAAATTTGCTTGTTATCTCAAGAATATCATTTGGAAGCGTGGCAGAAATCAATACAACCTGCAAGTAATCAAGATAAATATGACAAGATATGTGTTACTTCATGTACTATAGCAGGAATTGCCACACAGTACGCGCTAGGGCAATTCAAAAATATGCTATCTCCATTCCTTAAAGAACTTCCGAGTTTGACCTTCACATAGTTTAATTAAATTAGATTCTTTTGTTTTTTGAATTCTAGAAGTGCCCTTTCTACTAGGTATAAATATTATTGCAGAGTGTATTGTTTGACAATATACAATCACTGTTACTTGAGGGTAGTAAAGTAAATTCTATGATTTTCTTTACCACATAAGGAATGTGCATTTTGTTTAGGGATGCCACAAGAAGGTATACAGAAACTATAAATAAGAACTTTAATTTTCAATGTATTATTGACATTAACAACAAGTAGAATGTACTTTAATTATACATGCAATTTGAAATTCATTTCATACCCAACCAAAGTAATCTCATGAGTATGTCATAAACACAACACTTGATGAACACCAAAGAGAGAAATGAAGGGTGTCAGCTACTACAGCCTCTTTAGAGCAGTGCATTTGTGAAAGCAAGGAGAAAGGTAGAGTGAATGTAGAGAAAAGGAAGAGATATTTAGTTAACCTGAGGCTTTTGCGGAAGATATCTATAAACATCATGAATCTGATCCTTGAAACCGCGGCTCAACATTTCATCAGATTCATCCTAAAAAGCCCAAGGATGATTTTATAATCAAAATACAAAGTACTATGTCAAAACTTGTTCCACAGAAAAGTAGGCCATGACTTCAAAAACATAAACCCAAGAAAATAAAGGATTCTCTTTGCTCATAGACAATAGAGCCACTTAACTTACCAAAATCAAAAGATTTATTGCTCTAGTCCGTAAAGTTCTTCTTTTGATCATGTCACATACTCTTCCAGGAGTTCCGGAAACAACATGTACACCATGCTTTAATTTCCTAATGTCCTCACCTACACTTTTGCCTCCAACACATGCATGTACCTGAATGTTTATGTGATCACCCATAGCTAATATCACCTTCTCGGTTTGTGATGCAAGCTCCCTTGTAGGTGAAAGTATCAATACTTGAACCCTGAAAAGAAATAGTTACAAGTGTACTTAAAACAAATTCAGAAAGGTTGCTTTAGATTATCATTCCAGATGCTTTCATTCTGAGCTCTGAGAGAAATAAGAACAAGGCATTCCACTGTGAAGCTACAATTCCTACTTATCTACTCCTTTTGTACCAAAATTATTTTCATTCTTTCCTTTTCATATGCTCCCAAAAAAGCAAAGAATTCATGTTTTATGTTACTTCTCTCTCCTCTGTACAACTCTCAGCCAAACGATTTCCACTTTCTTAATCTAGTGCAAAGTCAAAACAGAAGATAATACTGGGTTGGAGGGAGTATATAATATATGGAGTCTTCGTTGGTCCAGTTTAGGTGAACACCAGCTAAATGTGAGTCAAGGTTGGTTCTTTTACAATTTCAGGCAGCTCTTAGCAGCATGCTGTGTAAGAAACCTATTCACCAGACATATACATACAAAACAATATAAAAAGAACAATTTTCTTAGTGTATTGTCATGTCAAACTCAAGTTAAAGAAACTTGCAAATCAAGCTTCCAAAATTATTTGAATTCTAATGTTAATCATATTGTTAAAGCAACCTACGAAATATATATATATGTGTGTGTGTGTGTAGAGCTACATTGTTATATATTCAAAGTAGACAAACTTTTCATTAGTACATAAAGTATTAACAATAACATTCCAGACTCCACAGAAGGGCAAACTTTTCATTAGTACATAAAGTATTAACAATAAGTCAATAACAGTATTGAGGTGAGAAATTCATACTCCTGTGATTTGGTGTCAACCAATTGGCAGACAGTGAGAGCTATCATGGAGGTTTTTCCTGTACCCGATTGAGCCTGTGCTATTACGTCACGCCCAGAGAGTAGGGGCAGAATGGCCCTCTGCTGTATTGCTGACGGCTTTTCAAAGCCGTATGCATACATCCCTCTTAGAACTTCGTCTCGAATGCCCATCTGTTCGAAGCTTAATATGGGTTCGACGCCCTCTGATGTCGTAATCCTCTCCTCTTCCACCATTGCTGCCCTTCTCCCATTCCACGGAACAACAGTCCCTGTGGCTGCCATGGGGGATTTACGTTAGGAATTTTTCACAAGCAGCCGCAGCCCAACAGGTATAAATAATACTCCGTAGGGAAATTTTACGGTACATCTGCTTTGAGACATGCAGTGTTATGAGAATTTATGGGCCCCGGACCATACACATAAAGTAGGTCTTACGGAAAAATGTGTGAATATCTATAAAATTTTTATAAAATAATCTGTGTAAAATTAAGTAGTACAATTGTTACTTGTAATATGCAACTTTGCATTGAATTAGTAAAAGATGTGAAAGATACTCCGTATTGGATAGAACTACCTCCGTCCCTCTATGTTTATGTGATTGATATTAAATTGATAAAGTAAGAATAAAGTAGGAATGATTTAGAACCACACAAACTATACCAAATAAGATATGAGACAATTTTAGTGGGACGGACCGAAAAGGTAAAATGAGACAATCATAGCGGGACGGATGGAGTATCATTTATGGAGTAATGTTTTCATATTTTAAATCATGTTTTGACTAGAACAAAACAAATTGCAAGTTTCTAAATTCTAAATAATATAATTCAATCTTTTGCTTACATGAGACTATGAGAGAACCAAAAGAAATTAGTAGAATACTATCAATGAATCATGAGATTACATGAGATAAGTAAATGGAAATATTAACATTTATGCGCTAACTTTTTATGAATCCAAATAAATGATGAGGTCTGTTCCCAAGATATTTTGGTATGGATGTTTCAAAATTTTAGACTTGTAGGTGTTGTTGAATAATGAATTCAAAATATCAAAAAACTTATACGTCTTATTTTAAATTTTTAAAAATTATATAATGTATATATATTTAAAATACATATGTATATATGTAATTGGGAGATTTATGGGTCCTAAGAGAATAATAGGCCCTAGGCGCATGCCCCTTTGCCCATGCCCTAGGACCGGCCCTGCTTTGAGGGATGCATTCCACATTTGACAGCATTTGATTGGTAGTCTAATCCACATCAGTTTTTTAATTAAAAAAACGTTTTTGCAGAGAGGTCCTTCCCCATTTTCAGCCTTATCCTCTTACACTGAAACAAAAATACAGCTTACCCCCAACACATACTACCTACGTCCCATTTTATGTGTCTCCTTTAATGTTAGCACAATTTTTAATAAAGTGGTTGAAAAGGTAAAAGTTGTGATTGAAATTGGAGTATAGTAAAGTGAAATGTTGTGAACCACATATTTTTTTTCACATATTTATTTTGGGACAACCCAAAAAAGAAACTAAGACAGGTAAAATCTGACGGAGGGAGTACTTTTTGTGAAGAATTTTTTTTAAATGGGTGCAAAGTCAAAGAAATTTTAAGTTGAATGAGGTGCAAAATCAAAGTTTTTTCAAAATGGGGTGCAAATCCAATATTATCCAAAAATTGGGGTGCAAAGTCAAATTCTCCCTAATATTAATTAATATTAATGGCTAATAGTAGATTTTAGATTTGGGAATGTCAGATTAGTAATAGTCCATTTTATTAAAATTTAAATATAAATGATTGGTGAAAGATAAAAATGCACCAAATTGCTCTTAAATGAAATTAATTACATATTACATGTTTATTAATTCATTAGTCAGGGATAACGATGATGATAATTTATTAATTCATTGAATTAACAGCTCATATATAAAAAGAAACATTTGTTTACGAACCGGGACCAAACATAATACTTAGTATTAAAAAATTACTTAATATATGAATTTTAATTATTAATACTAAATTAAATATTTAAGTGAAAAAGGGTCAAATAAGCCCTTATATAGGAGGCTCTGTCCGGCCGTCGCCATTTGGGCGGTTCCCGATGGAATTTTTTAAACATTTTATTCATTAAGTCTAGTTTACTCATATCAAATTTCAGCTAACAATTCAATCGGGAAGACATTCAAATGAATTCTTGAAGATAACTGTGCTTTTAACTACGCAGTAGTTATCTTCAAGAATTCATTTAAATGTCTTTCCGATTGAAGTTTTAGCTGAAATTTGATTTGAGTAAACTAGACTTAATAGATAAGATGTAAAAAAAAATTATCAAAAAATTTCACTGGGAACCGCTCCAAATGACGACGGTCAGACATAATCTCATGTATAAGGGTTTATTTGACATTTTTTGTTAGGGGGTGTTTGGCAATCAGCTGTTGGCTGTTGGCCGATTCTGTTGGCTGATTGGTGATAGCGGATTCTGTTAGCTGTTTTGATTAGCTGATTGTATTAGTTATTTATAGAACAATGTTTGGTTAAATGGCTGTTTGAAATCGGCAGATAATTTGTTAAATGACTTTTAAGGACATTTGAATTAATTTATTTTATCTACTAAACTTTTATATACGTATTAAACATTTTGCTAACAAAATTGACATTCAACTTATGCTCAAGCGGCAGAAATTTAAAGAAACTTTACAGACTCATAGAGGCGCATAAAAAAGAATATTACATTTAACTTACTTTCTTGAACAGAAACATAAGGTGCATGATTTTATCAAATATGTTTAAAAGATGACAAGGTGGCAAATTTTTTACAGCAAGGTGCAACAATTCTCACAGCAAAACTTAAGATGCAATCAAACAAAAGATGAGAAAAAATATTATGTTCCAATAATCAGTCAGAGCAAAGAATCCAAAGCAGTTAGAAGTTAACAATCAATCATCACATCTTGAACTTTCCATGTTCCTGTTATTTTGATGCATATATATACATGTGTGTGTATCCCTTAAGTTTGATGACCGTTTACCCATTATGTGAGAGAAAAGATGATTGTTGCTTGAAAGTTATTGGATATTGTTTGGAAAATAGTTAAACATTGAGTTTTAACACCCCATTGCGTATGAGGCAAGGAGAATCATGTGCTTATAATGGCTCTCCAAGCTACCGGGTCTCTTTCAGGGAGAGAGATACAGAGCATATGAGGCATAGTGGAGTTAAAGACCTATGGAATCTCCCGTCTTAAACATCAAAACAACGGTTTTATTTTTTTTGTCTCAAAGTTACTTATTTCTCATGTTTAAACAGAAAATCCAAACGAAAATTAATTTGATAAAAGAAGAATACATTGGTGGACAAACCCAGATAGTTTGTTGTAGGATACTAGGATAAGAGACGATGTGGAAGAGGTTGGCAGAGCTTCACCTCCGCGTTTTCTTTTAGACTTGGGTTGTGGAAGACGAAAAGAATACGGAGGGAGACAGTACAGGTAAGACCGTAAGACCTATTCTAGGAATATCCGATAAATTTTTGAATGGCTAAAGCCAAAACGCTAGGCTTTTCAGCGTTTCTTATTTTGGCCGTTCAAAATCAACAGCCAAGGGAAAAAGCCATTAACCAAACAGTCATACTCTAGTCAAAAGGACAAGTATTGGTCAAAACAGCTAAAAATCAGCTGTTACGGGTGTTACCAAACACCCCTTAGTATATGAGCTTATTTGCCCCTTTTCTCCGTCAAATTGAAAAAGCTTCAACCATGCTTCGTTAGTCAAGCAATCCTTAATTCCGTGTTATTTGGGAAAAAGCGAGTGAAGTAATGAATTGTGCAAAAGATAATAAACGCCAACCTAAATGAAAGGGTGGGAAAAGTTTAAGAAAGCAAAATCACATTAATGGGATTATATTATGTATTATTATTATTACATGAAATTACGTGTAGATAATAGATGTTAACGAAAATGTGTGAATAAGCCCCTAATGATGTCTCCGGCACAATTGTTGCGTTTAACATTTTAAAGTGCAAATATACACCTAATGTTTCTTCAAGATATTGATCTTTATTGCTGTTCAATGATAAAACTGGAAATGTAAAAACCAATAAAAAATTATCATTTGATTTAGGAAATGAAAAACAATTTCTTTTTTCTTTTCTCTCGTTTTCTTTTATTTATTTATCTTCTTTATTTTTCTTATGTTATTTTCATCTTTTCTCTATCTTGTTTTCTTTTATTCTATATATTTATCTTTATATTTATCTTATACTTTTTATCTTTCTCATTTTTTACTTTTCTTATTTTTCTTATCATTTTGGCTATTATATCATGGAATTATTCATGTTAATCGATCTCAAAACCTTTTGAGAATAAAGCTTGGAAGTTATTGTAGGGAATGAAAAATGATTAAAGAATAAAATAGAAAATAACAAATTTTAATAATTTTAACATCAAGATTTATATGTTCCACACTTCCATGGTTTTAAAATATATGCAATGCAGTTTTAAAAAAATAACTTTTACATTTAATTTTATTGTTCCTTTAGACACTCAATAAATTGCACATTCTTTTCTAATGATATTTGAATTTATAGCGTTCAAATTTGTGATGGAAAATCAAATTGTGTTTCATTTTGAAAGACATGGTGTAGGTAATGTATAAGGAAACAAGACTAACAAAAAACTGAGATATATGCGCTGCAAATATAAATTTTATGTGGCAGCATTTGTTTAATTTTTTGAAAAAGCATTTCGAAATTATGTCTCTTTCAAAGTTAATCCATTTATTTAATAATTTCTGAAGATCTTTATGCTTTTAATTTTAGCCTTTTAAGGCAAATAAGGGCCAATATGATCTTGAATAAAATATTGAAGTTATATTTGCACCTAAAAGAATTATGGGTCGATCTGCACTAAGGAGGGGCTTATTTGCACCTTTTCCAGATGCAATTTATATAAACTACCAAACTTCAAGACTCTGGTTCAATGACCACAGGCTGTTCTCCTTCTAGCTCAGAGATAACTATCAGGGAATCACCAGGTTGAAGAGAAAGAGGCTCTGACTTGGGATTTGGGTTGAGAACCTGTATTGATCAGATCAATTTATGAGATGATTCCTAAAATGTCGTCTTCTAAGCAAAGCATGTATGTGTAAATATACATTTTTGTTTCTCTTCACATAACCAATGGCAACTTCTCTTCGCAAATATGCTCTTTCAGAGAGCTCCGCAAAGGAAGGATTCTCCCCTTCCTTCATGTACAGGATGATATCCTAGTAGGCAGAAAAGCAATATCAAGTCAACAAAGGACCCAGAAATTATATGTTTTCTTTGGACACATTTAATACTGTGCATGCACGATGGAATTTATCCAATCTACTTTTCAGGTGTACCAGAAGGCAAACAAATTCAACTTGCAGCTTTCCATTGAGTGTGATTTGATGTATAATAAAGGTAAATCATACTACGTAGTTAATATCAGGAGCCACAAGTCATTTTACATTTTGGTATCACCTGAATATTGGCTGAAATTAATTTCATTTTCCACATTGGTCATTGGATATACAAGATTTGTATATATAAGCGTAGGTAGACCTCATTTCCTGATGATCCTTTTGCGGGGAGTTGAGCCCAATTTAATCTTTGTATATTGAAGATAACAAGTTTTTTCACTGTAGATATGCAGTTGTAGAAGATTGACAAAGTTTACCTTAACATATATTTCATCCCCCTCTGCATCCAGAATGTCTTTCCAGACTTCATTCAATTCATAGTTTTCTGCAACTGTGAATAGAGACGAATCGGTCAATCATGTTTCACACCTTACAAGATGAAATATGTAGTTTTAAACCTTGTGCAGTCACGAGACTCATGACTTCCTCTGCTGCAATGTAAGTTAAAGAAGGCCGGATTCTTGCAATCTATCAGGTAGCAGCGGAGGTATATTAATCTCCAGGAAAGAAAAGTATAGCTTAGCTACATGAGATAAAAAGGAAAAAACAATACTTGTTTCCCAAACTTGGAATCAACAATTTCTGCAACTAGGTTTTGAACCTGCAATGTTATAAAAGCAAAATTTTCAATTATTCAGTACCATTATTATTATGACGAATATATATAAAATGAGTGCAAATGTATATCAATTAATTGTGGTTTGGACACAAAGTCTATTAAGACATAGTTCCATAACTTTGTTCGGAAGAGTAAGCAAAGAGTTAATATGTTGGTCTATATATTTATATATATTTATTTGATGCGAGAATCATCTCCTAATATGCCTGATAGGCATATTATTCATACACCTACCTATCATGCCTGATATAGTGATAGGCTTATATTCATACACCTACCTCTAGTCAAATAAAGGAAAGCGATCAGGAAGTCGATTCAGGAAAATAAGGGAATCGATCAAGGCATGAAGGAATAGACTAGATTTGCTTAATTGGAAAATCCTATCAAAAGTAAATCATTATTAGCATGATGCTGCGAAGATGATCTTTTACCTACTTTACATGAGGCTATAAAATACATAAAAGAGGGGTAGACGTTAGGTTTAGGTTAAACCATCAGCCTTGCTTAGGTCTCCTGAACATCTTGATAGAGAGTTCTTTCAGAGGGCTCTTGGAAAGATCTCTCATTAGATCAGGCTGATCATGAACTCATTGTGTTCACTTGAGTCTTAATAGGACCCTATACCTTACGCCCAAATTAAGTCTTACGTTCCATCTTCAGAAGGTAACCTATGAGGAAGAATATTCAAAGACTTCAAATGTCGATTTACATGTTTATACTTATTTGATATGAGATTTATACCTGTAACCAAATCCAATATCGTTAACTGCAATTTATTTTGTGCTACATAAACATACTACAATCTTTACAAGTAAATAGGCACTATCATGCAATTCTATTAGGTGGTGCTTCTGAATTTTGATAGATAATAAGGCAAGGTATATAAAATAGAATGAATGCTCTAGAAAATAAGTCCTTAATATTAGTAAAAGACACTATCGATTCCATATAAAACCTAAACTAAATGCACACAAGATAATGAAATGTGAATCATCATCCCCAATTTAGAAAAGCCAATTGCCTAGAATTCCAAGTCCCGAAATTGTTTATGACTATGTAGGTTGCACACCTCTAACACACAGCATTATAAGCTATGAGTTAAAAAGATCACAAAAAGGTTTTCAGGATTAGCATAGAAAAATGCAAAAAAAAAAAAAAATTGAAACTCTGAAAGATGCTAGGCCTGATGATAGGTCATTGTAGATACCTTCACACCAAGTTTATTGCAAATGTTTTCAGCAAGGAGAAGAGAATACGCAGATTGCTTGTCTGCCTTGGATGGATCTGAACAGAAGAAGATAAAGGTATATAGTGCTGCAAAGTGACCCTATAACCTCAGGATAAATTTACATTTTGTTACCTCCAAGGAGCCATTCTCGATCAGGTATGACAACAATGGAGAATGTAATATCTTCATCTTTCTTTAATGATTTTTGAATGTGTACAATTGTGTCCCTCAAGGTGTCGTAGTCCACTGGATTTCCAATCTGCAGCAAAATGTTTAAGATTTAAGAAACCGTTAAGTTGCTGTAATAGTATGAATGAATAAGTAAAGTAGCATAATTTCATTACGTGGAAAAATTAGAGAATACCCTGTGAGAAACTCTCACGTTCCTCAGCTTTCCATGACCAGCAAGTCTGCATGCGTTAATTCTGTCCTCCAAGGGAACATTTGACAAGACTTCCTACAGATTTTGCAAAAAAACAATGAAATATGACCTTATTAAAATAGTAAGGTATCCATGATTGATGGAAGCATATCTATTGACAGTTTCAGAAAATTGTGAATTGAATGATGTCTGGAAAAACATTTCAGATATAGGGGGGTGAAATACATGTTAAGGTAAACTTTGTCAATGTTCTAGAAGACTACATGTTTACTATGAGACTGAAGGAACTGGATATCTTTAATATGCACCATCGTGAATTTTCAATATCATAAAGGTTCTTTTATTCAAAGCGGCAAGTATTGCATTGATAAAAATTTCCAAATTCTCAAAGTGTATTTCATCATCATCATTACCCCAGTGCCACAAAGGCTCTGATAAAAAAAGAAAAATAACAATCAACGGGGTGAACCGTTGCCCAGATAATCAACGATAAATAAATACCGTTGCCCAAAGCCAAAAGGCTAAACCAACTTTTATTCCAAGATTGATTAAGAATGAAGCCTAACAAGGGGTTTAAATACCCATCTACTAACTCTTAAAGTAGGAAACAAAATCCTAGAGATCCTAATCAACTCCAACTAGGAAACAGAATAATAAAGATCCTAATCAACTTCAAATAGGAAAGAAATAATAGAAATCCCAACTAACTCCTAATAGGAAACAAATATTAGAAATCATAATTAACTCCTAATAGGAAACAAATCAGGAAAATTAAAAAGAATAATTATTAATTAAACAGCCCGTAACCAGCCCACAGAGGTAGGCTCAAGCCCGTCCCGCCTTCGGTAAACCCACGGGGGCTTCTTTCCCTCTTCTTCCAAGCCCAGATTCTGCTTCATATCAGGCTCCTACCTACAGTGGGGTAAGGGGGGGTCGGATGTACGCAGTCTTACCCCTGTTTAGCACAAAGAGACTGTTTCCAGATGACCCATGGTGAAAATCGCGTAAAAAATTGTATGAATTGACTGCTGCTTCATAACAAAGAAGCGCAGCCAGCTTAGTGAGCCATTTTGCTTTATTCCATCATATTGTCAAGCCAAAAAATAGTGAATCTTTGGCTCCATTGCAAATGATGGAAATCAAACTGTATTTCAGTTAATAAAAATTTTTAATCAGGATTGTGGCCCAGTATGCACTTCTAGACATCATTAGATCTAGAAATAGAGTATTTAGTATGCCATTTGGTTTGATACAACATAAACAAATTACTAAAAGATGAATAGGCCCCTACCAAAACACTACTAGGTCCCAGATAATTGTCATATTCTTCAATCATTTGCACAACATCTGGGCGCCACCCAAGAACAAGAATACACTCTTTTGGTCCCAAAGACCAGTCTGATGCCTGCACTCACAATAAGGAAATTTAGGCATGGTGCGTGTTCACAGAAGCAAGGATTGTTACTTAGCTAGCTGACCTTAGATCTAAATCTTGTTCGCTTGACAATATTCTCAAGGCGTGTATTTCTAATGTCCTGAATATGACTTGATAATCTACCATCTTTCACATTTCCAATACCACCTTTAACATCTTCGCATTCTTCTGTACCATTAGAATCATCAAGCCGTGGAAGTGTTTTCCCTTGTATGTGCGCAATAAATAGAACCTGCACATACCAAGTATTAGCTGGGCTAATAAAGCATCCAACAACAACAAAGTCCAAGTCTTAGCCCCAAAAAAAGTCCCAAAAGAGTTTGGGATCAGCTAACATGAATCGACACATGAAACTGGAGCTTAGAAGATAAGAAAGATAAGAAAGGTAAAAAGATAAGAAAAATAAGATAAGATAAGATAAAAATGATACAAAAGGATACGATCAAGATCAAGATATGAATAAATATGTTAAAGATAAAGATAAGATAAAGATAATAAGATAAAAAGGATAAAAATATAAGATAAAAAGGACAAAAGGATAAAAAAGATGAAAATGCCAATCCCCCACACGAATATTTTAGGGCTAATAAAGCATGGAAAGAATCTATTCACAAGTGCCTTTACAAGTTGACATTCACTGGTGGCCGCTTAAGATTAATGTAGACGCCAGTGATTCATAAATCATAAGTTCAATTACGAATTTATGATAGTAATCCTGAGATCCCATAAAAGAGCTGTGCAAAGTTTCATATTTGGGATTAACAAATTTGTTTTTATTCTTAACTTGAATGATTTGTTGTCAATAAGAAACAGAAAATTGTAAAAACAACATATGAATTGTTTTTGCAATGGTTGACTATAAGATAAATCAGTAAAATATAAGTCGGTACATACTTTATGATTTTCTTCTAAAATTTCATCATCATTTGGGTGGAAATATATCTTCCCTCCTCGATAGAGACCACAGACAACAACCTAAACAAGGTCAAATAATTTTAAAGAAATTAGAGCCTGAAACATGCATATAGAATATAGAAAAAATCTAGGATAGCAACTACCCCTTGAAAACCACGTCTCAATTGCTTATATCTTAATCCAGCCAGGTCAGGAAAGCTGCGGAGATTAAACACATTTTCTGCAAAGTGAACCATCCTTTATTATAACTTCTGAAAAGCAATTAAGAAAACTCTCAGGGTATTGAATAACATGCTAATGTAATGGAACATATATTTTTGGTAAATATCATTGAGCATAACATTATACTCCCTCCGTCCCCGAAAGAAGTTCCCCATTTGACTTTCACACACTTTTATGCAAGTAACTTACCAGGGGGGTAAATTTTACTGTTTTGACACTGTTTGGCACTGTTTGACACTGTTTTGCACTGTTTGGCACTGTTTTGATGTAGATAACTTTCCATTTAAGAAAATGGAAACTTAAATTAGGGACATCCAAATAAGGAAAGTGGGAACTTCTTTCGGAGACGGAGGGAGTATAAGACAGTCAAGTTAGAAACAGTGTGAACAGAGGCTCCAAATTTGAGTAAGAAAGCACCACATTCTCCAGTAGTGAACTGTGAAAGATAATCTGCCTGATCTGCTGCAAACACAGTCTATTCAGAACATAAATTTCCAGTATGTTTATACTTTAGTTTTTCACTATTTAAACCTTGTCAACTCCACATATAGTCATATACCTCTAGCTAGTAACTTTAACATTATTTGACTAGGAACTACAGAAACCTCAATCTAAGCTTAGCCCATACTGATAATATACAAACCAACATACCCAAATAAAGTTGGCTTCATAAACTAACTTATATAATGAATAGAAATGAACTATAGAAAATGGAGCTGAAAGCGCCATGTAGTTGTGCGCATTTGTGCACTGCATATGCATCTACCTATTTTGTATTATTTTCAGACAGTTGGTTTAATGATTTGCATCTTAAAACTTGAATCTGTATGAAGTTAAATATAATCACAAACTATATTTTAAAGAGCACGTGTTTTATAATATGCTCCATCATACTTCGATAGTTAAGCAAATGTCTGTATATTTTTACGAGCCCCTTCTGCCTAGAGCACTGAACAAATAACTTGGATGTAACATTTTGCACAGGATGTACTTTCAATCCAGAAATAGACTTTAAAAGCTCACAAGTATTGGAACTTGAGACCTGCATGCAATAAAGGCACTGAGTCGGCGAGTAATAAGCGTTTGCTAATGATAAGAGACATATGAGGTAAAGTTGGCAATCACTTACCTCAACTACAGTGGGCACAGAGGCCATTTCTTGAAGAGGTTGGAGGGCTAGTACTGACAGAAAAGCATCAGTATCAATTTCGTACCTAGGACAATCAAGAACATTCAAATCATTAAAAGGAAGTTTATTGTTATTGCTTGATATAGGATGGGAAGTGGGAACATGCATGACATCTGCTGATAAGATGCATCACTTCTGACCTGTAACTCAGTTTATTACTCCATCCAGAAAAAGAGCCATTGTTGCGTAAAAATGTCCCAAATGAATATAGTTTCATTTCATGAAGTAAAGTCATATTTTACATTTTTTTGTTCTAACTTTCCAAAACAGAGTTACATAACATTTAGATATGATGAACTTAGCTAATCTGGAAATAATCCTTAAAAATATAAGTGTATTTCATAACATTCAGCAAATGAATATTTTCATACCTTAACCAAACAGGACTCTTTTTCGGACAGATGTAGTTTTGTTTTCTAAGCATGGGTTTTTTGTTTTTGTTTTTGTTTTCTAGCCATACTTGTAGCTGCCATGACTTGGTTTTGCAGCTAGTATTATCTGTCCTTTTTTTCAACTCACAAAAACTGGTATATACTCCCTCCGTCCTCCAATTAAGTTCCAGGTTTGACTTCACACATTAAGAAAATAAATTTGACTTTACTATGGAGTGCACTGTTTTGCACTGTTTAAACACTGTTTGGACAGTGTTTGGCACTGCTTTGCACTGTTTGGCACTGTTTTGATGTAGATAATTTGCCAAATAAGGAAAATATTAAAGTGTGAACTTAATTTAGGGACTGCCCAAAAAGGAAAGTGGGAACTTAATTGGGGGACGGAGGGAGTATTAGACTTTAAATCGAAAAGAGATCCAAGAGTTTCTAATAGAGTGCAAATGATTAGCACTCTCACATATGAAACTATGAAAGTAAGATGTGTCAACCTCAGGCATTTCAAATCCGTAAGATTCTTACCGATCTCCTTTTGTTGGCAATATAACAATTGCACGCGCTTTATTTGCCGCAGCTCTTTCAAAAGATCTTGTCAAACTTAGACTGCAACTGAGACAGCAAAACGTCTGAGAGTAAGACTTGAGTTTGACATCTTAAAGGAACAAGTATTAAAGGCTCAGAAATAAGGTCACTGTCTAATTGTACAAACTCATTGGCACACAAGTTGAGGGTCTGGTTCTAGTTTCTTGTGGAGATTAAAAAAAGAACTCTTAGCAGGATCATGCCTCGGGTTAAAACCAATAGCTTCCTTTTTCTCATGTCCCCTCCTCTGGCCCTCCTCCCATAGAGAGAAAGCCAGGACATGCCACTGAGCTGGGAATAATAGAGAAGTGTGTTTCATTTATAAACGGAGAGAGGCATGAAAGCCCAAGTTAAAAACAAGCCTTTGAAACTCAAAGGGCTCAAAGTTTATGAGCTTCTGATCACATTAACATTTCTTAATTTTTTTTTTACCTCGGGGTGCGTCGAGGGGAGCGGGGTTTGGGGGGCTGGGGTAAAATGGGATCAATCTCACTCCATTGAGAATTGAACTCGGGACCTCCCATAAGGTAGAGTGAGTCGGCGACCAGCTGGACTGGACTGCTTCCTCTAACATTTCTTAATTCTTATTTGTATGACTTGTCTTTACAGTAATGCATTTTATTTAGGTCCACTTACTGAAATGATAACTTTTCAAGTATCCAAAAAGCTGGATTTTAACAGGATATAAATATCCAAAAGAAGAAGAAATTTGCTCTTCAGATGGATCTGTTTCAAGCACACCAATTACTTTAGCTTAACAGTGCTATAGAGCCTATTTGATGGGAGTGAATTTGGTTTAAATGGATGAATGAGCTGAATTCGCTGATACATGTTGAATATCTAAACAGGTAGATTAGATGAAATGTCAAACAGTATATTTAAAAATAATTTTTAATTAAAGCTATAACAAAATCATATCTATAAGGTGTGGACATAAGTGTCATTTATAGTCAGTCCATTAATTTCAGGCAAAAAACATAAATATTGAAATATTTCATGTTTGAATACCAGACTCAACTAATCTTGGCAAATAAGATAGTGTTTGGTAAAGAAAATCAGATTAAGCCAAGCTGACAAGCCAAAATGCATTACCAAACGGAGCAATGATCTGTTTATTAGCAAAACTGAATATTTTGGCTTGTCAGACAAGGTGAGCGAGCAGACAAATCTAAATATTTATTAAAATAAATTTTTAAAATTAAATAATAACAAATGATATAAAAATGAAGAGGATACAAGTGCCATCACGTGTGATAGTTGGGCAGAAAAAATTGCGCACTAACAGTTAGGCAAGCAATTAGTCTATTCAGCTATATCGGGGGGGGGGGGGGGGGGGGGGGGGGGATCGTCCAACAATTTCTTCTAATCTACCTCTTTGTAAGAATGTCAATATGATTGAGATCTTTTGCCATGCTGTCAGCAATTTTTTCTATCTGCCGTCTAGGGAGATCAGATAAGAGAAGGATTCGCTGTCGTCTACAAAAAGGTATAAGAAGATAAAATACTAGTGGTGCTCTACAAACTTTACATTTTAGAAGTATAAGAAAATTTATTACCTAGCTGTGGCAGTACCTAAGCGAACAGAGAATTCATGATAATTATTTAGCTGTTTTAGTATGAACGCTAGGCGACTATTAACTCCACAAACAACAATATGATCGGTTTCCAAAACTTGCATCTGTGCTCCCTCTCTAAGTTTTTGCATGTTATCCTGAAAGGCTTGTCAGGGAAATGATGTCTAATATTAAACTTTAGCAATGTAGCATCTTTCCAATGTCATACCCTGAATTGTTCCGTCATTGTGCTTAGAAGGCGAGAATAGAACAAAATGCCCCATACCGCAAGCACAAAGCCAATCACACGTTCAATCCGTGTTCTTTGCTGCAATAAATACAAAAAACTTTTACTAATTGTATAACAATAATAATAGTAATGAGTTAACAAACTGATCGTGGTTTGCGCAAATAAGAAAATTAGTGATCTGTACATATTATCAATTAAAAGTTAAAACTACTGTAAAGTAGTCAAAGCATAAATGACAATAACGATCCACACTTTGAGATGAGTAGATGATGAACACAGGCATGCCCAAGCCTCCCAAAAGCAGTCCTCAAGAGAATGCGTATCCTTCCTGCATTTCCCCATGTTGCAAATTTAGTCAGCAAAAAAATTAGAAAGTAGGTGTTACCGATCAGTTAAGTTACTATGAAAAGGGGTTCTATGTAGGACATTTAGGACACCATATACACTTGCATATGTAGGCCACAAAAATACCCACAGACCACAGTATCCGGGACAAAAAAAGGTGACTGAAATTGTATACCTGAACTTAAAGAAAAGGAAGCCACCAATCAGAACAAAAATGAAACACGAGACAAGGAGCACGATAAAAAACCTGATGAATCCACAGAAAATCATTACTTATTGTTAAAACCAAGGAAGAATAACTAGATGCCACTGAGCATAGGGCTCACAGGCATGTAGGTGTTCAAAACTCACCAATAACGAGTGTGCAAAAGCAACTAGCTCATTATTCATAAATCATAAATCATGTTCTGTGTACATGTATAAGAAAGACGAGACATGATCGATTTAGAGACCTTCTAACTTACATGGCAACATTTTTCTCAAGTTGAATGTTGAACAAATATATAATCCGTGAAAAACTCCAGTTGATATCCTTTAGTGAAGGCAAGACCACATCCAGTCCAAGTGGTGTTGGTTTGCTCAAGTTATTAGACATGCAAGCAAAAGGCAAACTCTGTGCACCAAATGCTTGAATCGCATAGATGAAAAGTCCATGCAATAGAGTTGTCTTCATATTCACGGAAACTAGATGTATCAATCTACTGGTGAAATATGATGGCAATGCTGCTACATTATGTCTTTCTAGGAAACCCTGTGTGTGCTTTTTGGAACATATCTGAAAACAAAACCTATCAACAATCCACTACAGAAAAGATTTTTCATGGTAAGGAGACTTGCAAAATTTTGAGATACAATTTTGTCCCTTTATAAACTTAGCACAGAGAGTTGATGAATTAACTAAACTAGTTTCAATACAAAGTATGGTTGCCTTGCAAACCTGAGAGTTACTACTCGGATGCATTGTCCTCAGAAAAGAATTGAAATACCCCAAAGCATTTGTAGTCAGAAAGCAGTCCAGCTTCCTACACTTCTTCTGATAATTGATATTGGTCATCCCTAGTAAAGCACAGTTACTCGCACTTAGTAGGGAAACATTGAAATACCGAAGGAACCTATAAAAAAGGGAAGCTTCTAGATAAATTAAGGAAGAAAATCCAATATATGTATGAGCTGAAGTACATGTTTGCAAGGGTATCAGCCGACAGCCGCTACACCCCTTGTAAATTATACTACATACTTCTTATTCACCAGGGTGCACGTCAAGGATGCATGCTAATAGTGGTTTATAATAAATACATTAATTATTATAGGCATGTAACAGCATACGGACCCTTGATTGCCTACCACTCAGACTCACCGTTTTTTGTTACTGATGAATGAGTCCTCCGTAAAGCTGAATAAGGATTGCACAAGCAGGGGCATGGCAGTGACTTTCTGGTATTAAAAAACGGTTATCATAACAGAAGACCACTCATTATCCCTTATCCCGTATCCTTTTCAGTATATTTGAATATATGATAAGAAATAAACAGATGTCTGGTAAAAAACACAAGTGAGCCAAAAAAAATGGGAATTCGTATTCAGCTAAAATACAGAAATTCATAGAAATGCATTTTCAGTATAAACATATAGCGCAAGGTGATTATCAAAGCTGCAGAAAATATTCACAAATTGTAATAATTTCATCCCAATTCAAATATGCAATAAGAATGCACCAATCAAGATGCATCTTTGCTCCATCATACATTGGAAAATCTCAAATGTATACCCATCCAACCAATGGTGTCATTATGCACCTTCATGGCCAATCATTATGCACATATATGTAATATGCTTGTTCATAGAGTGAACTAATGGTGCCATTAAGTGTTTGAAATGAATAAGGAGCGGGATTGTGTTTACCTCGTATAAGGAGAAAACTGATAGAATCTTGAAGGGGGTGGTGTGGAAATCCAGGTCTTGGATGGGCAGTGCAACTGAATCATCGTTTCTGTTATACCTGGGACTGGTGTAGCGCGAGGCTCCAGAAAACGATGTATAGTGTAGGGGCTGTTTTATTCACCAAAAATTAGTTAATCTAACCAAAAATATCGTAGGGGATAAAAGTAGTTGAAAAATAACATTTGTGATTAAGAGGTGGTTTGACAACACTTTTATCAGGCTTATCGGTCAACGTTTTCACCCAAAAACGTAACTTTTGTTTTCGCACGTTGAATTGTGTAATAAGTCGAAAAAGTTACTTTTCTTGCTGTTTTTACATATGATTTTTTATTTATTATTTATTTTATTAATATAATATATTTTAATTTTTTTCTTAAATCAGCCTAATCAGTCAATAGTCTCTAAGATTTGAATAAAATAAAGTGAAATAGAGAGTATAACCATGAAAATGTGAGAAAGTATTAGTTTGTGTTCACTAAACACACATGTGCAAGCTTAAAAAAAATCTTTTTTATTTGCTTAATGTACAAAGTAGGTTGGCTGCAGTCGTACATTTTTTAATTGCCTTTGTTTAAATTTCAATCTTTTTTAATTGCATTCAGACAACAAAAATGATGTTTGTATTCACTCTTATACCCACTTTTGTACCCACCTATATTTGTGAAACGTTTTTTTCTTGTCTGTGAATCCCGGTTCACAGACAATATTTTGCACAAACAAAATATTGTTTGTGAATCAGGTTCACAGACAAAAAACACTTCACAAACATGGTGGATATAAGGTGAGTATAAAAGTGGGTACATCAAGCATTGTTGTTTCCTATGGCGATAGGCGAAACAAATATTGTACTCCGTATTAATTCCTAAATTTATGGGTGATCTTAGACGCATTTCTCTTTGTCACGTGGTTCCAAAAAATACTTCATATTTGTGTATCGGTGGAGCAATGGGGATTTATTTCTGGGAGGAGCATTTTAGATAATGTTTAATTGCTAATGAAATTATTCATTATCTGAAGTGTAAAACGGGAGGCGCGAGGGGTGGGGCTGCTTTCAAGATTGATAGCAGTAAGACTTGTGATTGGGTGGGGTGGAAGTGGAACTATCTTTGGGCAATTTTGGAGAAATTGGGCTTTAATACGATCGACGTGGATCATGTGAATAAAATGTGTTACTACTGTGCGGTACACAATTCTTGTTAATGATGATCGTATTGGGCCGATTGTTCCTCAAAGGGATTTGAGACAGGGGGACTCATTGTCTCCATATCTCTTAATTTTATGTGTCGAGGGACTTACAATGCTGCTTATTCGTCAAGTGGAGAGATTGGGTAAGCTGCATGGAGTGAGAATTGTCTCGGAGCACCAACAATAAGACATCTTTTGTGAAATGAAGAAGATGCAGAATAGATTAAAGAGATAGATATATTGATAATAACTTCTAAATAACTTCTTCTTAATCTAACTGAGAGTTTCTTAGTTTCTGAATTTCTGAATGAATTTACAAGGGTTTGATCAAGCCCTATTTATACTAGTTGGGCTTGGTGATGAATCATCAGGGAGAATTTCTACACATTCTGCTGGCAATATTAAACCTAAACATCTGTCCTATTACAAGGATGAGAATTTGATTAGTGTCCTGATTACAAGGATGGACATTCACACATGTCATTTTGATGATTTTACAACACTCCCCCTTGAATGTTCATCCTTCAATAGTTATTTTGTTATTATGAAAAATTAGTTTGAAAATTAAGGGGTAAAGATTACAACATATAATGTCGTTGTATTTGGATGTACTGTCTCGTTAAAAACCTTATCAGGAAAAACCCAGTGGGATAAAAACCTGATGAAGGGAAAAAGAGTGCAGTGCATTCAAATACTCCCCCTGAAATTAACATAAATTTTGAAGGCGGTGCATGCCGATTTTCTGTACAAGTTCTGTGAACTTCTTCGGGGGTAAAGATTTGGTGAAGAGATCGGCTGGATTTTCACTTGATCTGATTTGTTGAATGTTGATTGTCCCATCTTTCTCCAGATCATGAGTAGAGAAGAATTTTGGTGATATGTGTTTTGTTCTGTCTCCTTTGATATAGCCCTCTTTAATTTGAGCTATGCATGCGGTGTTGTCTTCATATATCACAGTCGGGTGACAAGTAATAGGCTTTATACTGCATTCATTTTGGATGTGTTGAATCATAGATCGCAGCCACACGCATTCCCTCCCGGTTTCATAAAGTGCAATTAACTCCGAGTGATTTGATGATGTAGCTGTCAACGTCTGTTTCATAGATCTCCACGAGATTGCGGTATTACCATAAGTAAATACATACCCGGTTTGTGATTTTGCCTTTTGAGGATCTGATAAGTATCCAGCGTCTGCATATCCGACTAAAGAAGCCTTTGCATCTTTGTGGTAGAATAGGCCGAGATCAACTGTACCACGGAGATAACGGAATATGTGCTTGATCCCGTTCCAATGACGTCTTGTTGGACATGAGCTGTACCTAGCTAATAAATTTACAGAAAATGCAATATCTGGTCTAGTATTATTAGCTAAATACATTAAAGCTCCAATAGCACTCAGATATGGTACTTCGGGACCGAGTATTTCTTCGTCGTCTTCTCGGGGACGGAATGGATCATCGTGTATGTTGAGAGATCGAATGACCATTGGTGAAGTCAAAGGATGAGCTTTGTCCATATAGAATCTCTTCAACACTTTCTCGGTGTAATTGGATTGGTGGATGAAAATTCCATTCTTCAAATGCTCAATTTGAAGTCCGAGACAAAATTTGGTTCTCCCGAGATCTTTCATTTCAAATTCTTTCATAAGATATTTTGCAGTATTTTCAATTTCATCGGGAGTTCCAATAATGTTTAAGTCATCAACATATACTGCAATTATGGCGAATCCCGAATTTGATCGCCGAATGAAAACACATGGACTAATCGGATCATTATTATATCCTTCTTTGAGAAGGTATTCACTGAGACGATTATACCACATTCGTCCAGATTGTTTTAGTCCATACAATGACTTTTGTAATTTAATGGAAAACATGTCTCGAGGTTTCGAGCTATAAGCTTCAGGCATTTTAAATCCACCGGGAACTTTCATATAAATGTCTGTATCAAGTGAACCGTATAAATATGCGGTCACTACATCCATTAGGCGCATTTGCAGCCTTTCAAAAACAGACATGCCAATGAGAAACCTTAATGTAGTTGCATCAACTACTGGAGAATAGGTTTTTTCATAATCGATTCCCGGCATTTGAGAAAAACCTTGGGCAACAAGTCGGGCTTTATATCTAACAATTTCATTTTTCTCATTGCGCTTACGCACAAATACCCATTTAAAACCCACAGGTTTTACGCCTTTTGGCGTAGGGACTATTGGTCCAAAAACATCACGTTTTTCAAGTGATTTTAATTCAGCCTGAATAGCTTCATTCCATTTTGGCCAATCGTGTCGTTTCCGACATTCTTCTATTGATGTTGGCTCATTGTCATTGTTTTCATTCATAACATTTGTGGCAACGGCATAGACAAATATCTCATTAATATCAATATCTTTTCGATTCCATTGCATTCCAGTAGAAACGTAATTTATTGAAATTTCATAATTATCAACGTTTCTATCAGTATCTGGAATATCTTCCTCATTTAAGGAAGTTGAATCATTATTTGAGATGTTTGTTTTGTCAATATCATTTTCTATGCCAGTATTTTCAAATTGTTCATTTTCTTGTTCAGAAGGATGAACATCTTTGGCATCACAGATCAATTCCTGCCTTTTAGTCTTTCTTGGTTTTATGTCTTTTGATCCAAGTGGCCTGCCACGCTTTTTGCGTATAGAAGAATCATTTGCGAGAGATTTTTCAGAATTCTCCGCTGGAATTTCAATTCTGGCAGGGGCATTCATAGCAGGAATATGTGACTTTGTCACTTTCTTTGTGTCTGTGAATGCATCAGGCAACTGATTTGCAACATTTTGTAAATGGATTATCTTTTGCACCTCTTGCTCACATATATTTGATCTAGAATCAAGGTGTGATAATCCTGTTGCATTCCATGTTATTTCTTTCGTACTTGGGTCCGATTTATTAGTTTCTCCCCCTAAGGTTGGGAATACTGTCTCATTGAAATGACAGTCAGCGAACCGTGCGGTGAATAAGTCACCAGTCATCGGTTCGAGATATTTGATTATCGAGGGAGATTCTAATCCAACATAAATTCCCAACCTTCTTTGAGGACCCATTTTTGTACGATGAGGTGGAGCAATCGGAACATAAACAGCACAACCAAATATTTTTATATGTGCTAAGTTTGGCTCTTGTCCAGTAACTAATTGCATTGGGGAATATTCATGATATGCAGTCGGTCTAAGCCGAATTAAATTTGCTGCATGCAAAATAGCATGTCCCCAAGCTGATGAAGGTAAATTACACTTCATTAATAATGGTCTAGCGATTAATTGTAATCGTTTAATCAAAGATTCAGCAAGACCATTTTGTGTATGGACATGAGCAACAGGGTGCTCCACATCAATCCCAATCGACATACAATAGTCGTTAAATGATTGGGAAGTAAATTCTCCTGCATTATCAAGTCGGATTCTCTTTATAGAATGATCCGGAAAATGAGCTTTTAATCGTATAATTTGAGCAAGGAGTTTGGCGAATGCTAAATTTCTAGTCGATAAAAGACTAACATGTGACCAACGTGTTGAAGCATCAATCAACACCATAAAATATCGAAATGGTCCACATGGCGGGGCTATCGGCCCACAAATATCTCCTTGAATCCGTTCTAAAAATGCAGGTGATTCAGTTGCAATTTTGTTCATAGAAGGCCTGATGATCATTTTGCCAAGAGAACAGGCCTTACAAGGAAAATCACTTGATAATGGAACCCTGATATTCTTTAATGGGTGTCCAAGTGAAGTCTTAATGATTTTATGCATCATTACTTGGCCTGGGTGACCTAAACGGTCATGCCACAACATGAATGTTTTCTGATCATCTAACTTTGCGTTAGAAACCAAATTTATTTCGAATGGACTAATATAAGTGAAATATAGTCCTGAGGAATAAGCTGACATTTTTTCACAAATAT